TTCCTACTAAGAAAAAGCTTTAGTTTAACTTTTATGCTTATATCTTTTGTCCATTATGAATTAATTTGTGTATGCAAATTCAAAAGGTCCAATCTCTTCCCTTTACATGTGGATGTCCAGTGTTTTTGCAGTCAACAATAACTGACATTAAGTTAGGAATAGTTATATGAGAAAATAAGCAAATTATAGCTACCTTATATTAACCTTAAATTTTACTAACAAGTTGAACATTTATGTCAGTTAAAAACAATTAATATTCATATTCATTAACTTAATCTTTTCAAAGATGCATTCTGCAAATACGTTCACTTTCTAAACTTAAATGTTTGATACACAAAACTACTTTAGGAAAGCATTCATATCAAAACATCCAATTCCTAGAATAACATTGCTATCCTAAGAAAGTCTTCAGGGAGTAGCAGGATTTGGGAATTTAAATTTCTGAATAACTTTTGGAGCACTTGGTCATCCAAAGGTAAGAAGCAGTCAACTTAGAATCTCCCTGATCAGGAAGGAGAAAACCAGTTTAAAGGAAATCTAGAGAGAATACAAGCCTGAATAACACAGGACATCACACCTCTTTGGGAGATGTTGCTGCCCTCAGATCATCAGGCAAATGTATGCCCCAAGGGTCACTACTTTTTCTTAATTATTACTTTCTTAAGAATACAAAATAGGGTTGAAAAATTATTTCATTGACTCAGCATGATTATAATTCATGAAGTTACCACAATGAGGAAAAATTGAAATAATCCTTCAAGTATTAAATATTTCTAGGTTATTGTGCAATAAAACAAATTCTGATTATCAGGCTAATGTTTTTATTCTCCTTATGACAAATTCAGTTCTGAACTTCAGCCAAAATGTAAACTACAACTGTATTGTGGTATGTGCAGTATATTCTTAGTTTAAAAGAATACTACTTCTTATCAAGTTGATAATCATACTCATTTAACTTAAATAACTACTTTAGCATACAAAGATATTGCCACCTTTGAAAGCCATTTCGAGTCTATTCCATTTTAAATACCACCTCATATCTTTTAATAATATTAATATACCACAAAATTACTTTCTTCGTAGAACAAAGATGAGCATTTTAAAGCTTGTAAAGTGACTAATTCTTAATGTTGTCAAATTAAGTTAAGCAATTTAATACAATTACTAAATGTACTGACTTCTAAAAAAATTATACCAATTAAAGAAACTGTTTCACTGTCTTTTATAATATACATAAATAGCTTGGTTTGAGCCAAGTTATTTGGGCAGACTGGCTTTTTTCTTCACAGCTCTGGTAGATATTCTCGAAGTCATTGTCAAATCCAAATTGAATAAGAGCATTTGCTATTATAGAATTGGATCTCATCTCATTTCTGGTTTTGAGTTCATATTGTTGGAGGACTGCACACGGCTATTTTGTTTTCCAGCCCCCACTATGCACCTAAGGGTAGTGCGCGCGCACGCACACACACACACACACACACACACACACACACACAAACAAATAAATGTAATAATTAAAAATGTAATTGATACTATTGATTTATCCTTCAGTAAGTAAGCCTTTAGCCAAAGAAATAAAGTTGGTCTGAGCTGGGCAGCTTTCAGATTTGCCCATTGTCTGTACAGGACTGGACCATATTTCCTAACAAAAATACAACTCTAAGTCTCTCGAGCTTGTCAGGAATTCAGAGTCTTAGGAGACAATGTTTGGCCTTGAAGCTAATGATACTATATCCTTCCAGCCTTAAACTGAACAAGTGATGAAAAACAAAACCATCTGAGTAACAGCATTTCCCAATATACAGTGACTGATCATCTTTGACTCTGTAACAAAATCTTCCGTCAAAAATTGAGGTTATTGGCTGAGGAAATGGATAAATGCCCCCACTGCCAAGACTGATGACTGGAATTTGATTCTTGGGACCCACATAGTAGAGGGAAATAACTGTCTCTCAAAAGCTGCCCTCTGACCTCCATGCATATGTATGCATGTACACACACACACACTCATGTGCACATAAACTCATGCACACATACACACAAATAAATCTAATAATAAAAAATGTAATTGAGACTATTAATTTATCCTTCAGTAAGTAAGCCTTTAGCCAAAGAAATAAGGAACTCATTCAAAGGAACTCCATAAAGGTCTTTCAGTGAAAGGGAACATGAATCCGAAGAAATGGTCAAGATGTTCAATACGCTTGCAATGACAGGGGAGTGTATAATGTAGGATGAAACTGGAGAGGAAGGCAAGGGCTAGGTTTTACAGAGTCAGCACAGGCTTCATAGCCACAAAAAGGTAGAAGCAGAAGACTGGGATGATTGGATCATTTTAATTTTTACTGTGTGTGTGTGTGTGTGTGTGTGTGTGTATGTATGGTATATGTATATGTTAGTGCGGGCATGTGTGGAGGCCAAAAGTAAGCATCAGGTATCTTTATCATTCTCCATTTAATTTTTGACAGGGTCAATTATGTGGCTGGCCAGTCAATGAGCTTTAAGATTCCACCTGTCCCCAACCCCTTCCCCCCCAGTGCAAAGGTTATAAATGCACTGGGTTTGCATGGACACCGGGGATTGAACTCAAGTCCTCATGCTTTTGTGGAAGGCCCTTTACTGAGACTTCTTTCCATATCTAGGATTTCCATTTTATAAAGATACACTGACTGCAATGTAGAAAATGATTTGAAAGGCAGCCGGCATGGTGCTAATTAGAAGAATGCTATCACAGCCTAGGGAAGAGAAAAATATTAGGTCAGAGTATAGGCTACAGTGGAGGGAAGGTGAGTAGATTTGAGAAGTATTTAGATAGCATAAATAAGTCTAAATGGTGGGTTCTATACAAATAGTAGTAGTTATTTACTGTTATATAAAAATTACCCCAAACTCATCAATACAATAGTTATCTTATAAAATCTGTAGGAAAAGAGCCAAGGCACAACTTAGGTATGCTCTTAACTCAGGATCAGACCCAGGACTGTGGTCAGAGCTGACTAGTGATGGGATTACAGCAAGCTTGATTTGAGAAGGATTCACTCCCAAGCCCACCTGTGTGGCTGTTGGCAGGCCTAATGTCTTCACTGATTATTGACTGGAGACAATTTTTTGCCAGATGGGCCTCTCTATGGAGTTACTCACAACATAGCAGTTTGTTATCATCCGAGTAAAAAACAAGGAAGAGAGAGGAAAGAAGGGAAGAGGGAGAGGACCAAGAGGGGAAATAGGGTGAGGAGGGAGAGAAAGAATGCAAGGGAGTGAAGATGGCAAGAATATCTGTAACCTGATATTGGAAATGACAACTCAGCGATCTTATATTTATTAGGTGTGGGTCATTTGATTCCACAAGAGAAGAATATTACACATAAGGCCATGCGGTCCATAAAGTGAGGCCGCTGGAGGCCATTTGAGGGGCTGCCTACCAGAGAGAATCAGGGATCAGGAAGCATTGTGATATTAATCAATGACATTGTTAAGGATGGAAAGGATCAATATTTGGAGAAAAATAGTTTCAGATATAATCTGATGAAAGGAAAGGTGCTACAAATATAAATATCAAACATTAGTAAAATGCCTACTATGTGTCAGGTACTGCTCTAAGATGTGGAATACAGTTATGAACAGTGAGTAGTCTTTGTCCTCATAGAATGTACCTTTTAATAGTTGAAGATAGATGATATACATATTAATTAACTTAAATAATCACAAATGGTAGAAAGAAAGCAAAACAAAATGAACTACAGGTTTCACTTCAGCTGTGGTGTCTTTTAAGGGTTCCAAGTACATAGTCTGAGGCCTTGAGGTATCCCCAGGATTGCTCCTCTACTTTGTCTCCCTTATAGCATTTATCAAATTTTACTTTGTATTACAGATGCTTCTTGGAGCAGTCCAAAACATTCTCCCTAAAAGATATCCACCTTATCTCTCCAGAACATGGAAATATCGCCTTAATTAGAAAAAGGGTCTTTAGTGATCTTAAAGATCCTTAAGTAAAGGGACCTACCCTGAATTACACAAATGGGCTGTGTGGCTGGATTTAGTATCACCTAGGGGACACACCCCTGAGCATATCTGTGAAGATGTTTCCAGAAAGGTTTAAGTGAGGAAAGAAGACCCACAGTGAACATGGGTGGCACTATCCCAGGGACTGGGATCCTGGACTAAATAAAAAGAAAGTGAACTGAGCACCAGTATATTCTCTCTCTGCTTCCTGACTAGAGACACAATGTGACCAGCTGCCTATGTT